ACCTCTTTGACTTCTTGCATTAAAATAAATACATGTCAGACCACCAATCCCACTGTGTCCGCTCTAGCACAAGCAAATGAAAAGCATTGCAAACCTGAAAAAAAATCTTTTTTCTCCCAGTAAAATGCCTTGCACAATATGTTTAGTAAACGCTGTCCAACAACTGAATCAGTTCTGATGCTGCGCACTATCCTTAGAATTTTACAAGCACAGACGGACTGAACAGAGTGTGGAGTCCACTTCAAATAGTCAAAAGACATATTGCTGATAGAGTGCGCCAGTCATCAAGATGTATGCCTTTCATCCCTGGAATTTAAATCAGCACTCAATTGATAATACCACATTACGCATCTGTGTGGTAGACAGCATCCCTCTGGTGAAGAATATCACTTGTGCATTTACAGCAAGGTAGTAGCAAAAGACAGCAAACTTCATCTCACGAATTGCTCTACTTTCAGGGATAAATAGGGACAATATTGAGATGTTAGTGAGCTTTAAAGCAGATAATCAAACGTAATACTGCTATGTCCATAGAAAAGAGCTCCAAACATGCAGTTCTATTTCATCAAGTAACTGTTTCTTTTGTCAGAACAGTGCACTCCTGGATCTCAAAACAAAAAAAAACTTTTAAAAAAAGGCTGACAAGCAAGAACTGCAGATGCTGAAGTCAGAGACAATATACTGTGGGAAATGCATAGAGAGAGGAGGGGTGGGGTTGGGGAAGATAGGTGGGATAGTGATAGTTGAATGCTGGTAGGGAGTGGTGGGGTTTGGTCAGTGGGAGAGGTGGGGCGGATAGGTGACAGAGAAAACGGACAGGTTATGTCAGGTCAAGGAGGCAAGGATGAAAGGGAGGGTTGACATGAGATCAGACCAGGAGTGGGGAGATTTTAAAACTGGTGAATTCTATGTTGAAGCCATCGGGCTGTATGCTCTGGAGGCAGAATATGAAGGGTTGCTCCTCCAGTTTGCGTGTGGGGTCATAGTCCACTGAGGGAGGAAGACAACTTCTTCAAGGTGGGCATCCTTGGAGGAGGCTTCACAGTGGGGTTAGCTCGGAGATAGCAAGAACTGCAGATGCTGGTGTCAGAGACAATACAGCATGGAGTCAGAGGAACACAGCAGGCAAGTTGACGTTTTGGGTTGGGACCCTTCGTTAGAACTTTTTCATTTATTCGTTAACAGAATGAGGGCGTCACTGGCCACACAGCATTTATTGCCCATCCCTAATTATCCAGAGGGCAGCTGAGAGTCAAACACATTGCTGTGGGTCTGGAGTCACATGTAGGCCAGACCAAGTAAGGATGGCAGTTTCCCTCCCTAAAGAACGTTAAGCGAACCAGATGGGTTTTTCTAACAATCAACAATGGACTCGTGGTCACCATTAAATTCTTAATTCCAGATATTTTTACTGAATTCAAATTTCACCATCTGCCATGACAGAACTCAAACCCGGATCCCCAGAATATTATCTAGGTCTCTGGATTAACAATCTAGCGATAATACCACTAGACCATCGCCTCCCCCCTCAAATGGGGAGGGAGAAGGGAGCTGGGAAATAAAGAGAGAGGAGCAACACTTCATATTCCACCTCGAGAGCCTATAGCCCAATAACCCCAACATAGAATTCACCAGTTTTAAAATCTCCCCTCCCCCAGCCTCATCCCATGTCCAGCCTTCCCTCTCATCCCCATCTCCCTCCTTAACCTGACACAACCTATCCCATCTTCTCTCCCACCTCACTGACCAATCCCCACAACTCCCTACCTGCATTCACCTATCACCATCCCACCTACCTTCCGCAGCCCCACTCCTCCTCTCTATTTATTTCCCAGCCTCCCCCAACCTCTGAAGAAGGGTCCTGACCCGAAACGTCAACTTGCCTGCTCCTCTGATGCTGTCTGGCCTGCTGTGTTCCTCCAGCTTCACGCTATTGTTTTTAAAAAGGGTGCCCTAGCGACTCCACAACTAACTCTTGCTTTGTTTTGTTTTCTTGATGCAGCACCAGTAAAACTCAAGAAATCAAAAAAAAAATCTTAAGTTATAAAGATCAATGCGGTTCCAGAGAATATCTAATATACAGTATTTAAACCAGGGAGTCCGTCACTATGGAAGATACTGCACAGGGTAATAAAACAGCATGGTCTCCCATTCCCAATTATTAAGTAATCTTGTACTAAGCATATACCACCGACTGGATATGTTACAATAACTCACCGGGCATAGTTGGCAGAGCTTTCCAATTTTTCAACATTCATCATTTGGAAGAGTTGTAGGAATACAAGTACCACTACCTGAAAATTCACCTCCAAGCCATACATCTTGACTTGTAGTTGTATCATTGTTCCTTCTAAATCCTGGAGCACCCTTGCTTAAGAACACTTTGGGTGTACCTACATCAGACGCACTACAATAGTTCAAGAAAGCATCTCATTGCTTTATTGACAAAAATCTAAAGAAACAAAAAATGGATAAGCTCAGTAGGTCTAGCAACATCTGTGGAAAGAAATCAGAGTTAACATTTCAGATCAAGTGACCCTTCCTTAGAAATCCAGGAAAGGTCTAAGGAATGGTGACTCAACCCGAAATATTAACTGATTTCTCTCCACAGATGCTGCCAGACCTGTTGTGCTTTTCCGTTTTTGTTTCATTGCCTTCTTGTGTACAGTTAGGCATGGGCAATAAATGTAAGTCTAGCCAGTGATGTCCAGGTCCCACAGAACTCTATATCTGAAGTGTTCCATCCCAGGCAACATCCTGGTGAATGTCCTCTGCACCGGCTCCAATGCAACCACATCCTTCCTACAGTGATAAGGCCAGAACTGAACAGAGAACCCCAGGTGTGGCCAAACCAAAATCCTGTACAGCTCCAACATAATGTCTCTACTCTTATATTCTAGGCCTAGATAAAGGCAAGCATCCCAAATGCCTTATATACCCTATTTACCTGTTCTGCCACCTTCAGGAATCTGTGAACAAGCACCAAAGATCCTTCTGTTCCTGAGTCTGAGCGTCCTGCTATTAATTCAGTACTCCCGTGTCTTGTTACTTCTTCATAAGTGCGTCACCTCACCCTTATCAGAATTAAATTCCATCTGTCACTAATCTGCCCAATCTGTTTATCTCCTCCTGTAACCAAAGACTTCTTCCTCACTATCAACCATCCAGCCAATCTTCATGCTATCCACAAACTTACTCATCACCACCTCACCAGTCCCCCAACATTGTCATCTACAGTGTCACTTCTAGCCGAAGCGCCGAGTTACGTTGGATCGAGACCTCGGATTTCTGGGATACAAATATCCAATGCCAAACCTTAATCTGCACATCTCTAGGTTAAGAAGCAAGTAGAAAATTAGCTTCAAATAAAAAAAATGACTACTGCTAGGTAGCTTACAACCTTCAATTGAGTTTAACTTCAGAAGATAAACACCATCTTCCTTGTTCATTACCTTGCCTTGCAACCTTAAGTCTTATTTTTCAGGGCTGCTCAGAGCAGCGCCAACATGTTTTCAACTACTTACACATCTCGTTAGCACTCCATACAGGAATTAATTATTGCTTTCTTGGCTTATCATTAGCAATCTCCTTCATTCCCCACTCTCTCTCTGGACACTGTTTCCACGTACCCTAATTTCCTGCCCTTCCCCAGCTATCTTCATTTCTGACAAAGGGTCGCTGGACTCAAAATGTTAATTTTTTTCCTGTAAAGATGCTACCAAAGCCACTGAGTTTCTCCAGCACTTATTTTTTGTTGCAAATAGTTCTCTTCTTGGAGTGACACCTAATTACAGTTTGCCCAAAGCAACTTTAAAAGTTTTTCAAATTATATATTAAACAATGTTATTTCAACTATTTTTAAAGTATATAGCAAGTTCCCTGGCTAAAACAACACCAATTATACTTAACCAACTCCTTATGCACCATACTTTAAAAGCCACTGTTTTAGGTGTTGAGACAACTTCTGTTGGTTAAAGAGTCAGGATTCAAAAAATGTTAAATCATAATCGAGAAATAAGACGTATATGATCCACAATGTTAATTATACAAGGTCTTAGGTTATCTGATGAACAGCCCATTCTTTAAAAAACTGACAAAGCACTGAAGGGGCTGAAGTGCTGATAAATGTGGTCCAGACTTCTACTGCTAAAAACTCAAGCATATTGTTTATCATTGGCAACAGCATTTGTCAACAGTACTCCAATATGTTGAGACAGAAAATCTTGGCGATAAAACCCTCTTACTAAAACAAAATTTGCAGCATTCCAACACATTTCACATGTAATCTAGTCATTTGTTTTGTAAGTGTTCAATCAAGAAAATCTCATTTTTCATTGAAAATGAAAAACACCCTCCAGAGAATCAGAAAATAATTTTGGTCAAAAAGTTCCAAACTTCAAGACAGGAAATAGATAAATTGGTTGTTGATTTGACACTTCACAAACTATGCCCCTCAACTAACAGTTAAAAATTTCCAAGAAATTTGTAAAACAGAAGCATAATTGAAAACAACTGTCAACATGTCTAGTTTTCCAGTTATTTAAAATACATACTGCATGAAATCTCCATTTAGAAAATTGGGAAAACTTGGATATTGCCATAACGATTATCCAAGTTCATAATTCCCCCCTTAAATCTCTCCCATTACCTTGATCAAAATAAACATCCTATAACATGGAAAAAGAAACAAACTGACTCTCCGTTCGCTGGCTAATAACTTAACCAGTTTCATATGTAGAAAACATCATGAAAAAAGAACTGTCACCAGCACCGTACATTTTGCGACAGCAGAATGTCAAACTCCCAGGGACCGAACAGTTCTTTTGGGGAAAAAAAAGGTTAAAATAATATTAAACTCATCATAAGATGTGCATATCCACATGATCGCACAAGATCTGTGGCAGGACCCCGACGGAATAGCTGGTTAAATGCAAGAAATGGTGTGTGCGCGCTTGGGTGGGGAGGGGCAGAGAACAAAAGACCCGAAGAGAGGCACTCACCAGCCTGATGAAGCCGAACCCTTTATCCTTGTTGATGAAGATCTCGGACGGCTCTCCGTACTTCTCGAACATTTTCTTGAACTCCTCGTCGGTCACGTCGTTGGGCAGGTTGCCGACGAACAGGCGGCAGCGTTGCGTGTAGGTTTTCTCGCCAGGTTTGCGGAAATTGGTCATGTCGACGGTGATGCCGGTATCGGCTCGGTCGCCGCCATGTCGGGAGGCCGCCTGCTGCTGGTGATGGTGGTTGTTGGCGGCAGCACCGCCGGGCCCGGAGACTGGATCCTGGCGGTAGTCCCTCTTACGTGGGCTGTTGTTGTCGCTGCGGTTCCTGCCGCCCGATTTCTGGATATGGTCTTGCATGATTTTGAGCTTCAACGACAAAATTAAATATAAACTCAAAGGTTGTTAAAAAAAACACATTAAATTGCAGCCGCTCGCTCGATTTTTCCACCCTGAAGGACCCAACTTTTGATGCGTATGTTTTAAACGTTTTTACACGCGGTTATAAGATATGCGTTGCCTAATTTTGACTATAATCGGAGTTGTTAATTTTTTTTACCTCACAATCTCAGGTCGGTGCTACTGAAGAACGAACCAAAACCGCGAGGAAAAGGCGCCGGAAAGAACCCTGCACCTCAACCAAGCATGAAACTGTAACTGGGATGGTGCCTCCACCTCTCGATAACTGATTGGTGCATTCCATCGGATTGATGACGGCACCTTGAGCCGTCACAAAGGGGAGAGCTGACATCTTCCTCCCTATTGGTCATCACGGGTGTCAATCACTCTTCGGGCCTAGCGCCATCACGTTCGTATGAGGCGAAGGTCAGCATGTGCTCAGCTCCTGCGTTGTTCCGGGTGCGGGCGGAGACTATAAGAATTATTGTACAGAACACTTTTTAAACTCAGGTTGAAAGTATGGACACAAACAAAGGATAATTGACCATGTTTTAAATTTGGTTCCATCCGCCCTGGATTGTTTGTGACTTTGGGGGATGTTGGAGATTACGACGTTGAGATTTAGTCGAATCAACATAATTCCTAGTTTTACAATTGCTAATATTTTGTTACTTCTCGTGAGGGAGGGTTTACTATTTTTCCAAGAAAGAATAGGCCGAGGAGAATTTTGATTACCTATTGTTTTACGACTGAAGAACTCCGGATATGTTTAACATACAGTAGTGTAAGGTATACTTAAAAGCACTTTTTTTTAAATCTCAAATATTACCTTCCGTGCTTTTCTAAAGGCTTTGCTAGCAATGTATGTATTATATTTCTGCAAGTTCTGCCTCGACGTGGAGACCTGAACAACTTTGCATCGAAACGAGAATACTGGGTACTGACTGAGTTGATCTGTGCCCATTCTTGTCGATACAGTGTGCAGCTGGAATAACACAACAGGTCAGACAGCATCAGAGGAGCAGGAAAGTCGACGTTTCGGGCCTAGGCCCCTGGGTCTCTCCTGCTGCTCTGATGTTGCCTGACCTGCTGTGTTCCTCCAGCTCCAAATTGTATCGACTCTGACTCTAGCATCTGCAGTTCTTGCTATCTCTGAGCCCATCCTTTCCTGTTAAACCATAAGATATGGGAGCAGTAAGCCATTCAGCTCATAAAGCTTGTTCGTTATTTAATGAGGTCATGACTTATCTCAATAGTCAACTTCTGTTTCTTGCCTTTTCCCTTGATTCCCTTATTGATTAAAAATCTATCCTCGCCTTCAATATATTTATCAACCCAGCCTCTAGGGTCCTCTGTGGTAAAGCTTTCAACAGATGCACTACCCTCCGAAAGAAGAAATTCCTCCTCATCAAGGTAGGCAAGTCCCCAGAACCTAATGAATACTGTAGGAGGCTAGGGAGGAAATTTATGGGGCCTTGCACAAAATCTTTATATCTTATTTTGTCACAGGAGAGGTCCCAGCAGACTGGAAAATATTCAGTGTTGTTCCTTTGTTTAACAAGGGCAAAGGGATAATCCAGGAAAATAAAGCCTAGTGAGCTTTACGACAGTGGTAGGGAAATTACTGGAGAAGATTCTTAAGGTCAGGATTTACTCATTGTAAAAAGTATGGATTTGATAGCAATAGATAACAAAGCTTTCTGTACGAAGGTTATGTCTTACAAACCTGATTGAGTTTTTTGAGGAAGTGATAAGATAATTGAGGGCAGCATGGTGGCTCTGTGGTTAGCACTGCTGCCTCACAGCAGCAGGAATCCAGGTTTGATTCCAGCCTTGGGTGTCTGACTGTGTGGTGTTTACACATTCTCCCTGTGTCTGCGTGGATTTCTGCTGGTTGCCCCGGTTTCTTCCCACAGCCCAAAGCTGTGCAGGTTTGGTGGATTGGTCATGCTAAATTATCTGTAGTGACTAGGGGTATGCAGGCTGGGTGCATTAACCAGGGTAGATGCTTCGGGGAGGGGGCTGGGTTGGGTGGAATTCACTTTGAAAGGTCGTGCAGACTCAATGGGCCGAATGGCCTTTCTCCATACGTGTAGGGATTCTGTGAAGGTTGGGCAGTGGATGTTGGACTTTATCAAGGCCTTTGACAAGGATCCTCATGGCAGGGTGATACAGAAGGTGAAGTTATGTGGGGCCCACAATAAGATGGATACAGAATGGCTTAATTATAGTCAACAAAGAGTAGTGCTGGAAGGGTTTTTTTCAGACTGGAGATCTGTGACCAGTGGTGTTCCACAAGGATCAGTGCTGGCACCCCTATTTTTTACAATATATATAAATGATTTGGAGGAAAATGTAGGTGGTCAGATTAGTAAGTATGCAGACGATGGAAAGACTGGTGGAGCTGCAAATTGTGAGGGGGATTGCCAGATGATACAGCAGGCTATAGACAAACCGGAGGAGTGGCGCGGATAAATGGCAGCTGGAATTTAATCCAAGAAAATATGAGATGATGTATTTTGGAAGGAAATGCTGGAGGGAAATATACAGTAAATGACAGAACCCTTAGAACCTACAGTGGGATCTAGTCGTATAGGTCCACAGTTCCCTGAAAGTCATAACACAAGGAAATAAGGTGGTCAAGGAGGCATATGGTATGCTTGCCCTCATCAGACAAGGCATAGAGTATAAAAAATGCCAAATCCTCCTCCAGTTGTATAGATCTTTAGTTAGGCCACATTTGGAGTATTGCATACAGTTCTGGTCGTCACACTACCAGAAGGATGTGGAAGCTTTGGAAAGGATACGGAAAATGTTTACCAGGATGTTGCCTGGTTTGGAGGGTATCAGCTACGAGGAGAGATTGGACAAACCTGATATGTTTTCACTTGGATGTTGGAGGCTGAGAGGTGACCTGATAGAAGTTTACAAAGTTACAAGAGGCTTGGAGGGAATGGGTAGTCGGTCTCTTTTTCCCAGTGTGGAAATGTCTACCACTAGGGAACATGGGTTTAAGGTAAAAGGGGGGAAAGCTTAAAGGAGATGTGAGAGGCAAGTTGTTTTACACAAAGAGTGTTAAGTGCCTGGAATGTGTTGCCAGTGGAGGTGGTAGAAGTAAATACAAGAGCAACGTTTAAGAGATATCTTGGCAAATACATGAATAGGCAGGGAATAAAGGTATACGGACAACATCGAGGCAAAAGGTTTTCAGTTTAGAAAGGCATCATGTGTCAGCGCAGTCTTGGTGGGCTGTAGAGCCTGTTCCAGTGTTGTACTGTTCCTTGTAAAACTAAAGGTAGCCATATGACAGTGAGGAGCTGAAATTTGTGTAGAGCTCCTCTGCTGTATGCCAGGTATGGAACTTATATGGTAAATATCAAGAATTTTGAAACTATATTGAGGTACATCAGTGTGGAACTTGCTGTGTGGAAAAAAAATGAATTGTATTGCACTTTTGGGAATAATCAGTCAACAGTGTTTAACCCTCAAGTTGCATGCTTGACCTGGAATGTATTACCATAAATATTCAGAGTATTGAAATTGTATTGAAATACCTCGAGTGAAACATGCTGAATAGAAAGTGTTGAATTTTATTGCACTCTCATTTTTTAATCCAAAATGCCTTGTAACTTTTACTGATGTAATGAATAAAATATACTTATTGGGGAAAAAAATTAAGACTGGATTTTTTTTGGAATTTTTTTTCTTTCGGGATTGAACTAAAAGAAATTGTGCCATACTTGTATGAAACCTTAATTAGACCACACTTGGCGTATTGTGTACAGTCATAGCTACCATTTTTGAAAAAAGATCTAAACGCATTTGGGAATGTGCAAAAAATTACAACTATGATACCATAAACAAGAGGTTATATTTTTAAGTGATGATCAGGCTTCCCTCTTGAAAAATTAGGGTGTGGGGATGACCTGTAGGAGCAACTAAAATTATGGAAGATTTTGCTGAAGTCAACAAGAAAATATCTATTTTGGGAAGAAAAACAAAACCAGATGCGAGATACTTACCAAATGAGCAAGCAGGGTATTCAGAAGAAAGGTCTTTGTCATGAAAATAGTGAAAATGTGGAATTGACAAAGAAATCAAGGTGAATAAAATAACATATCTGTCTAAAAATCAATCCATGACTTTTAGCCTAAGGAAACATAACCTGTTCCTTTACCTCACAAAAACTGACCTTAGATTTTCAGGGATCTACCAGTACAAGATCCCAAGAGTAAGAGGACTACGTGCAGGTTCTTGTCCAAGGCCCATCCAGTCCCATTTGCTTTCCTTCTTTGTTTTGCTTTTGCTTCTGCTCTTTCCTTTCACTTTATTTTCTTCTGGTCTTTTTTCTTCTTTTTTGTGGCGGGTTGGTGGGCAGTACCAGTGCGGCAGTGATGATAGGAGGTGGTGTCAGCGAGAAATTTCTCCCACATTTAAAGTAGTCACATTTAACAAATTCCACCCCATCTAAGCCATTAACACTATGGCAGTCCTAGTCTGTGTTTGGAAAATTAAAATCCCCCACAATTACACCCTATTTCTCCTACAAGTCTCTGCAATCTCCCTGCGTATTTTGTTCCTCTAATTCCTGTTGACTTTTTGAGGGCTTGTAGTACAACTCCAATAGCATCACCATCCCCTTCTTATTTCTTAGCTCCACTCACAAAGCCTCACTGGATGATCCCTCAGTTATTTCATCTCTGACTACTGCTGTGATACTCCCTTTAATCAAAAATGCAACGCCCCCTTCCCTCTTTCCTCTATCTCTGTCCCACCTAAAGCACCTGAACCTTGGCACATTAAGCTGCCAGTCCTGTCCCTCCCTTAGGCATGTTTCTGTAATGGCTACAATATCCCAGCCCCATGTACCTATCCACACCCTGAGTTCATCGGCCTTTCCTGTCAGCCCTCTTGCATTGAATTAGATGCAATTTAATCCAATAGGCATTCCTCGCTCCCTGTCCTGTTCCAGCCTGACCTGTCTCTTCAACTTGCTATTTCTGATCTCTTTCCAGCCTCGCACTTGCCTCCCTGTTGTTGAGGATCCCAGCCCCCCTGCCAATCTAAGTTAAACCCTCCCTTGTAGCATGAGCCAATCTGCCCGCCAGGATATTGGTCCCCTCCAGTTCAGGTGCAACCTGTCCCTCTTGAACAGGTCACCTCTGCCCCAGAAAAGATCCCAATGATCCAGAAATCTGAAAGTCTGTCTCCTGCACCAATTCTTTAGCCACACTTTCATCTGCCATATCGTCCTGTTCTTACCTTCACTAGCATTTGGCATTGGAA